GGAACGAGCTCGCCGAGGATCTCGCGTCGCGCGCTGCTCCTGAACGCAGCTGCACCACGCCGTCAGCAGCAACGATTAAGTTCGTGCTCCTATTTCATCCCAGATACGCCACAACCCCTTCTCCATTCCCTTTAATAGATCAAGTGACCAAATGAATAGAGTACAGAAAATTAACCCTTTTTATTGATGCATTGCAATTGTTCTACATTTTTACCATATTATGTAGAAAATACTTAAAATACGAGCTACTTTGTAAAACCAAAGACAAACATTGAATCCAAAGATAAACTATGTTTTCACAATGGACCCTTTTCCCATATAGTTAGTATTAAATTTTTAAATATCTATTTCTTTTGTTAAAATGATTTTTACATACCCCCTAAGTACATCAGCAATACAAACATAGATCAGTAATTGTCAGAAACTACCTGTATCTAGCGGCTTGTAAAAAGGAAGAGCACAACCATAAAAGAAAGTTTAATTTTACACAGTAACTAGCATATCAAATACATTTAATAAAGTAGGAATTCCATTGCAATATCAAGAATTCAAGCAGAAATACTAACATTACATATAATGTACTGCTACATGTAGTGAGATAGATATATTTCAAGCTGAATCTGAAATCACACATTATATAAAGTTTAGCAACAAACAACCATGTGGACATGCGGCACCATTCAGAAGTTTAAATAAAAAAGAAAGCAGGGCTGTGCCAATCCTGTCATTTAGAAGCAATTTAGTTTCATGTACTAAAAGAAATTGCTGAGTCAGAGGTAAATTACTGCATCCCATCAACTAGGTGCTAAGCAGGAAAGCCTCAGAAGTTGCCTCTGCAGTGGCTATCACAGCTGCAAATACAGGTCAGGTAATAGGAACAACTGATTGAACAGTTCAAGAATCACACAGATGAGTCTAGATGGGACCACGGTTATCAAATATTCAAAAGGTGAATCCCAAAATAGTTTTAGAAAAAATTAAAGAGGACTCTGATTTCTATCCAGAGATAGCACATTTCTTTACAAAAGTATGTGTAGCGGCTCCGACAATGAGGAGAGTCAGTTCTTTAACCTAATTTGAAGGCTGGATATGCATGGGAGAAGGGATGTATGTCCTTAGAGCAGACTGCAATATACTTAGATTGGGCAACACATACTGGGCCAGACTGGGATCCGCCACGCCTGTGAAGCCAGCCCAAGATGAAAATCCGGCCCTGCTGGGGTGGGGCTTTTTGTTTGCTTGGTTTACGCTGCGCATCGCAGAGGAATTTCAGGGTAATCGACAACTTGTTTTAAATGGAGTGTGTTTCATTTTACCCATGTCATTTCCATCATGTCCTCCTTGCTCCAATACTTTCGGAGCCTTGGACAGTGGAAGAGATGAGACCACGCTTTGTGGATACATTTGGTTGGGTTTAATTACATAGTAAGGACTCCAAAGACAAAAGGTCATTTTCATCTGCTTTTTGAGGGGGAACTGGGCAAGCTCTTCTCAAAATTATTAGCTAGAATTTGCTAGACATCTTTTTTTCCTGTTAGGACTTAATGGAAAACACTTTACTATTTGTGAAACAGGGAATAACGTTTTCCTGAAACCGGAATTGGAGCTTGTTTTGCCTTTCGATGGAGAGGCACAACTCTGTACCCAAGAGGTATCTCAAGGCAAGTACTGAACACAAGCGGTGTAATATGGAAAAAAGTAAGAAAGTGCCTACAGCAACAAACAGCATCATTTACACCAGTGATGTGGAATAGCAAGATCAGTTGGTTATCCGCACACTTACAGAAGTGCTCTGACTAAAAATACACTGAACAACAACGTCGCTAATGCTACCGTCCAGTTCCAAAGTCCTTGATCCCTCTATCGAAAGAGATGCCAAACCTTTAACAGTTCACCAATTTCAAGTCAGTCCAGACTTTCCTCTATCAATAACATGGAATTTCAGAAATTACTTTTGCACTTCTTGTCACATACCGGTCAGAGAACTGGCCTCTTTTCCACTGGGACGGAACATAAACTGGGATTCAAGGTTACCAAAACCTCTTATTGCTGCAGTAATACGACCGCTCAAGCCAGTTTATCATCCATTTGGACAAGATACTTAATCTACGTACTGAAGATGAGGAATAATTCCTAGTACAAGGGACCCAAGAAAACAAAGTGTAGTTTAAAAACTGCACTGATTATCCAAAATGAGTATTTCCTCTGAACACTAACTAGGGCTACAGCTGACAAACCTTCCCAAGAACTCCACATTAGCAGTAGCATTACAAAACTTTTTAATGGTATTATGTGCTTTACAGCAGGCTCTCTTTGGTATAAATATTCTATCACCAAGCTAGCAATATTTTACAAGAAATGTCTGCTATCAACGTGGGGGAAGGTAACGCCATACTAATCTAATAAAAAGTGATTGCACATATTTAATCACTTCTGCAATATTAGACTAAACATTCCAATGCATTCCCAGCACTACCTTATTCGAAATGCACTGACAGACATCTAACAGTACATGTGCCGTTTCAAGGAAAAGCTTTAAGGAAACATCGCTTCACTCCGAACAAAAATGTAGCTTTTTATGATAGCATTAAAACTGAGAACAACGCACCTATGCAACATACTGCTGTTCTTGCTGTGATAAGCTTAGTGAATTGCTTCAATTCGACGGGGGCTTGCTGGTCCCTCATAAGGCAAGCTCACTGTAAACTCTAGTCACACTACATCATCATTTAAGGCACTACAATAAGGGGACACACCAAACAACTCTTCATCACACATACCTGTGCAAAACAAATCAGAAGGTATCCTTTTCTCTCACGAAGCTCTACTCCTCTCAGTGCTACAGTGATGAGCTCTAACCATTGCATTATATCACATACATTCCAACATGAATCAATTCATTTTGGTTTAAATACAAAGGATACATCAATTCCATCCCCAGGAACGTTTAAGAATTAGACAAACACTAAGTACAGAGTTCAAGTATAATCACTACACATTTTGATTACAAAGACAGAACATTTGGGGTTAGCAGGAAGTTTTGCTTGTTATATTTTTCTAATCAATATGTACATATTTCATTTTATGTAAAATATTAAAACACCACCAATACAAAACTTCTAAAATAGTTTTAAATTCAGTAATAAACTTTAAAATCTGGATTTTTTTCCTTTTTTCTTTCTCTTTTTTTTTTTTTTTTGCGATTCCTACATGCATGTACTGTATACAAGTCTTATTAAGAGCGCTTTAAAGTAGCTGTTGACATATCCAGGAGGATACGCTCACAGGAGTATAAAAAGCTGTACACATCAATACAGTGATGTTTCATTGTATTTCAAATTCAACTCCCTCCTAAATGAATCATGTGAGAAAAATATTAAGAAAAACAGAACAAAGAAAAGCCCTGTGCTTCTGTGAAGGAATCCAGCTCCATTATAGGGCCAGCATCTAGTAAGTTGCAGAAACCAAATTTTAGAGCAATGCTGCACTATTCATTCTCAGCTGAAGACTACAGCATCCTGACAAAGCTGCTGAGTTCTGTTACACAGTGAGATTTTGAACACAGTTTGAAAAAATTAGAAGAATTCTGCAATGAATGCAATAAAAAGTCAGCTGTGTTATGTATGGAGACACAGAATTTTCAAGAAAACGAAACAGGTTTCAGGGTTTACATGAACTCCTGAATACATAATGTTGCTAGTACAAGGCAGCTGCCTCTACCAGTCCTTAAACAAAGCAAAGAAGTAAACAAAGAAGTTTGACAGTAACATATATGGAGATGTAATGGCTTTTGCAGAACCAGCAATTTGTTAGAGACAAAGTGAATTAGAGAACAAATGTTAAAATATTAAACTTGATTTTAAAACTGCCCCAGCAACATAATGAGATAAACGTGCATTACATTTTTAGTGGCAACATGGATTTGTGCAAGCTGCTAAAATATAATCTGCTAGTCTTTTTGTTTAAGTTATACAAGTTAAAAAAGTCATGAGGATCTGTCTTCCAAGATACTGATTTTCTTTCCCCTTTTGATTAGCACAACAAAACAATTTTAAATAAATGTGACAATGAACTATTTAAAAGCATCTATAAAAAGTAAGTAAAATTTTAAAAACTTAATTAGTGACCCTCATACTGGTAACAAAGCATGCTGCTCAGTTAGTGACTGAACTCACTAGAGACATTTTTGAACAACATACAACCAGATCAGGGAAAAACAAAAACCAGGCAGTCATTACCAGGCAAAGGTTCACCTGAAATCCTTCTCCAATCTCTCAGGCCTATTGCAGGACAGTGCTTTACTAGGAACTACAAGTATGAGTACTGGTTGATCTTTGTAGGGCTCAGCGGATATCCAGTGTAAATAGCAGATCCTCTGGAAGCACCAATATAGGACTGGGGAGCAAACTGGTGTTGGTACTGGGCAGGCGGAACATTTGCAGAAGTCAGCAGACTCGGACCAACACTCACAGGGACCTGGTGGACAAGTGTGCTAGGGTGGGCAGCGTACGTGGTGTGCCGCGAAGAGCCCTGAGGGGAGAAGAGGTGGGCGATGGAGGTGGTGGAGCCCAGTGTTGCAGCAGTGGTTGGAGCGTAAGTGTACATATGTGGCTGGCTGGACAGGTGTGCGTTTGCCGTTGCTGCTGCCAGGTGGGGATGCACTGGGCTGCTGTGCTGAAACGCATAGGGAGCCTGAGAAATCGTTGACGTGAGGGGTGCCACATAAGCTTGCTGCCTACGTGGGACAGCATTTCCACTTCTCTCCTGTGAGGCCAGCACTGTTGTTTGCTGGTTCTGCAGGGAGAAGAAATAAATAGGGTTAGGGGCTATCCTCAGGGAAAAGTGCAGTGGACAGGAGGTGAGCAAGGAAGGGTCAGCGAGAGCCTCCCGATTAACACCTGCTCTATCGGCAGGACTGAGGCTTCTGCAGATCCTCCCTTCCCAGCTCTGTGAAACCCTCACATACATTTGAGAGGGGTTACTGCAGTTCCACTGAGACAAAGGTTAGACTTTTCCTCTACAATGGGATCAAACTGCCACAGCTGGGGTACCACAATACACAGCTGTACAAGTGCAGGCAGGTCCTAAGACTGAACCAGCCCTTGAACTCCTCACACATCTATTCTTCTGCACCTCAGTGAGAGCAGCAGCAGGGCTGCCCCATTTTAGCACAACAAAGCCTATCTTGTCCCCATGCCAGAAATGAACTGGAGGTGTAACACTCCCCCTCTTCTGAAAGGCTGCTGCAGCTTGACTCAAACATCAATAGTAGTGACACAAGTTGAAGTGAAACCAGTCTCTGAAAGTTTCAAGGGAAGTCAGGTGCTAATTCTTAGTTTGAGAGACAAGGTCCAGCCTTAATCTCCTGGTTGGGCCTTTGTGAGATCTCGAGAAGGAAGGTAAAGAACAAAAGAATCTCCTCACAGTGCTGAGCGCCTTCAATGCTACTCTAATTCAACAGCTGGATCCTGGTGCCACTCTCCCACCCAAGTGGCAGGAATGACTCACTGCAAGACAGGTGTGACTAGGAGCACAAAGAAAGAACATAGATATAACCATGCTTCCTTCTCCTGCCCTCTGGTACAGTAACAAATTCTTTGCCTTGAGAAATTTCACCTATACTTCCTACAGGGTTTCCCCTCCCCTGCATGGCCACAGGACAGAATCAGCTTCAAACACGTAATGAGGTAGCAGCTATTGATCCTCTTGGAACCAAGTCATTCTCCCTGCCACACAGCATAGTGTTTCTAAAGCAATTCTAAAGCATCATGTTCAAAGGTCAGCAGAAGTCACACAGAGCTTACCTGGCTGAGATTGAGAGGCTGCACACCATTTGTTACCACGCGATGTGAGCGGTACCCAGTGGGTGTTATACAGCATCCTGACGACTGCCCACTCACAGAGGCCACTGGCTTGGTCTTACTGGTGCTGCTCAGGATGCCTGAAAGATTTCAAAACCTTAGTCCATTCTTCCCTTTCACACACCATGCACCGTGATAACCAGCTTAGGTAACCGAAGAACGCGCAGGGACTATTTCCATAACAGAGCCTTTTCTTCAATTACGATTTAAAATCTGATTGTACAAGAAATCATTGGGAATTTTTACAGACCTTTCCAAATGCAGCCAAACATATATGAAAGGTAAATCTATCAATGAAACTGAGAACAGACCAAGGCTTGCACTCTCAGAACAGCAGCTGTGAAACCTGAAGCTGCTGAAGACCCAATGCAGACAGTCCAAAACTGTGAGGACAAAGCTGTCAGGCATAAGACAGCATCTGAGCCTTGGCAAAAACTACTGAGCACAGTAACCTATAAGAACATAACTACCTGAAGCTTGGGTAGCTACAATGCAGTCATTGAGCTGTGTTTTCAATGGTGGCACAATGATAGTCCGAGAGCTGGAGCTGTCAGCCGCTCCTCTGCTCGGCAGCTCCAGGGCACCGCCTGTACTCCTGAGAGAGGAAAGTGGGTCTGCGGCATAGGGGCTGTTCAGGGAGGAGTCGGAATCAGGGGAGTCGTTAACAGTAACGTAGCTGATGACATTGGATCTCTGCTTCATACCCAAACTGCAGGGGGGGAAAAAAAAAAACAAACCAAAACACAAATGGGAAACATTCTAGTTTTTTACCACAAGATACAGAAGATCTCCTTCTGGGATCTCATACCCTCTCTTTCTGTCAGATGAAATTCTGATTAACTAGAGACACAAACAGCACAGTGGACATGATACAGAATTTTCTGTCTTATGCAGTGCTTCTTAGCCTAGCCAGGGCTTTGCATGTAGTGTTCTCCACTCTCCTTGATAATTTGGGCTGAGCTCAGGACAAATCAGTACTGGCTGCCTAAATGAACTTCCTACCTGGCAGGTTTGTATTTGCTGTCCTCTTCTTCATCAGTGTCACTGCGAATGGTGATGACGCTGACGGGTGGGCTTGGAGTGTCTGGGATCACAATGGGCTGGTGCTGCTCCTGCACTGGGACGAGCACGTTGGAAGAGGAGGAGGTGGAGCGCAGAGGACTGCTCCCAATGAGCGAGTAAACTTGGGAGGGCACAGTCTCTAGAGTTGAGCTGGGCCTGAAGGAAAACCAAAGCAGTATTCAGCTACATGACAGCAGGCTGGGACAAACCAGCACCAGCATTAAGAACAGCCAGGCTCTGGCAGGCTGGAGCACACGTACAAGAAGAAACATCTTGAAATACACAAAGAGAACCTCAGTGCAGACACTCATAGGGGAGAGCGCCATAGAACGCATCCCGGACTGCACTCCCCATGACTCCCCGTAACATCCCAGAATGCAACCCCAATGCACTCAGTGATGCTCTGAACAGGACTGATTAATCTGAACACTGCCAGAAACCTGCTACCCCTTGTTAGACAGATGTCAATTTTGTCACCTGTATTGCTATGGCACCAACACACCCAGAATGTGTAAGCCCCCCCCGCCGTGACCAGTACAGTAAATCACTTGTCAACCACGTTCCTTGCACTCTCACTGAAATTAATATGACTTGTATCAGTGACTACAGCAGAGATTTTTTCCAAGACATCTTTAAAAGCAACTGTAGCACACTAAAAAGTGACACAGACTGTGCCTCTGCGATGAGAAGACCAGTTTTTCACACCATAAAGGCAACCTCCACAAACACACCCACAGTCTTTCTAGGGCTGGGAAGGGAAGCCTTACTTGGCTGCGCTTGGTGCTGGCTGCTTGTTCTTCTTTGCTGGAACATTGCTGCTTTGCTGCTGCCTAACGACATGAGCAACTCCAACATTCAGAGGCTGTGCTGTAGCTAATGTCACGTGGTTGGTCAGTAGTGATGGCTGCTGCATCAGAGTGCTGTACTGATTTCCATGGGAATGTGCATTCCTGGGGCAGAAAAAAACCAAAAGAAAAAGACCCAAATCCCATGACTACACTGCAGGCACCGTAAGCTGCACCGAGCCCCTGCGTGATTTTGAGGGGAAGGGAGAAATTCTGCACACTGCAGGCAGTACTGCAATGGCACGTATTTCCATTCGGCACAGAGCTGGACCCTGTGCAATCCCTACCTCCAGTCAGCTAATTGCTGGCTGCCGCCGATCGTCTCCGGAATCACAGCTGCTGGCTGAACAGAGTTGTGCAAAGCAACCCCTGGGAGCTGCTGCCAGGTGGAAGGAAGCAGTATCTGCTGGGTTCCCCCAGGCCAGGCCTGCTGCAAAACAACAAACAGATACACAGGTTCACTAGATTTCAGTTCCTACCGGTGGGGGGAGAGAGAGAGAGAGATTTGTTCCAAGCAATAAATGCACTTGTGTAGATTGTTAGCTTGCAGAGATAACGGCACATCATTGCACTTTCTCAAAAGGTCTCAGTATGTAAGAGACAAGAAAACCAGAGAAACGAGCTTCCCCTGACACTTTGCTAACCTTTGGTATCACAGATGTCACCTGGGGAAAAGAGTGTTAATATTGTACTGCAGAATGCAGCCAGATACTGTACTGCCAGACGCAGCATGAGCGTTCAGGACTGTTTCTGCATGTAAGTTTATGCACACTGCTCTGCTGAAGGATTCCAAAATATGAAGTCAATTTGGTCCTTTCTGTTTTTCTGCCTTATAGGGCTCATATTGAGAGAGCTGAGACAGTGTTATTATTGTGGAAATTCACCTCACCTCAACAAAAGTATTTAAGAAAAGCCACACTGAGAGAAACATTTAGTTACAGGGGAGATGCATGAAGATATTTTCAATTAATTAATATTATTAATGTTCCTGTCTGAATGGACAAAATGCATTTTTTTTTCTGGAAAAAAAAACCCCAAACAAAAACCAAAATAAATTTGGCAGTACAATATTTCTAGGATTTTGAAAATATACGTCTCTCTCTCTTGCAGTTTAAACTGCAAAACCATAAATGCCTGCTGTTTTAAATAAAATATTTCTGCAAGTAACAGATCCACTTATTACAAATACCGGTTCCAAACAAGAAGCCTTCAAAGCAGAGAACTGCTAAAACCTCTGCCAACATAAGCGGAATAATAATAATAATAATATTAAAAAAAAAAGAGAAATATGTTAAAAGTCACACCATGCGTCTTTCCAAAAGCCAACACCTGCACAAGACAAAGCAGAGAGTTTAATACAGCAAGATATAAATTCCCAATGAGAGGCAGAAATCGGGCCTTCCAAGCGACGAACTGTTTTGACAGAGGAAGGACAAAAATATGCAAAGCTTAGCAAATGGCTAATGCAAACTCAGGGGAAGCAGCAAGGGAGAAGTGTCGGAAGCACTAAAGGTGAGCAGATTCACGCCAAAGGCTCCCAGAATCCAAACAGAAACAGTAAGTCCTCCAGAGAAACTCAGAATCCAGGCTCATAGTCTGGAGACAGCTGGCTCTGATCTCCACTGCTGTACAGGGGAGTTGAACGTCAAGTCCACTGCACACACACAGCAGAACAGAATTTGCCTGTTGAATCAAAAGCCCAAATACACTTTTGAAAATATCACTGACAACTCACTTGTGTCCCAAGCTCTGCTACAGTCACCCCTTGCCGTTTTCAGAGCCTAGACTGCAGCCTTTCAGCGATCAACACTCAAAAGGAGGAAAGGAGATACATCCCTGGGTCTGTTTAGCTCGGAGCTGTCACCCAGGAGAACCCCACTCTCCTGCCTTCCCATCCTCAGAAATAGGGAGCAGTTAACTTGGTTCAGAAGAACGCAAATGAGTGGGTTTTAATTTCAGTATAGGTATGACTCGAGCAAATTCCACTTCAGCAGAGGTCTCCCTCTTGGAAGAAAATGACATTCAAACTACCACTTTAAAGCCACAAGAAACAACATGGTTCACATAATGGAATGTGCTTTGAAAGACATGTGAGGATACCAGCACTTAAGTGCACTGCAATGTTTTCATAAGCTTCACTGATCTGATTCTGGAGTTTTACAATGACTTCTTTGTGGCACTTGCAAAGTTGTTCTGATGCAGGTGCCAAATGAATACGGAAGAGGACAATTTTGAAAACATACGTTTCTTAAGGGTGTGTTTATTCCCCTGCCCCATCCTTTTTAAAAATTGTTCCAAATAGCCTAAAAGCTAGCTATTGCCGTTTTGGATACTAGAGCTCACCTTTAATTTCAACCAAGAAATACATATGAACTGAAAGTATCTGTGAAGAATGGTATCTTTATCTGGATGAAGCAAGCTACCTGTGATTGGCTATAAATAACAAAAGGCCAGAAAATTATTGTCAATGTTCAACAAAGGTTACGAGAAATCAACTGCTAAAGCAATACGTTAAAGAATTTGCTATCATTAGAGATTTTAGCCTGTGCTTAATGACCTGAAACATTTCTACATGCAAAGCAGCTTTACACATGTTGAAAACAAAATAGGTAGCTAACTTGCCAAGTAGCTCAAATTCTGGCCATCCAGGTACCTGTAGCAGAGTCAAGCTAAAGACTGATTCCTTTGTATTCAACAATCAAAAGGCAAAGATAGGATAGTAAGCAAAGAACAAGAACAATTACGACTCTTCTGTAGTATAGCTTAGAAGAGCTTTATAATACTAGGCTAGTAAAAAGTAATAGTCAATGTATCTGGATTCTTTACAGAGCCACACTAAACGTCAGAGTCAGACAGTGCTTCAGCAATGTTGGGGAGGAAAACAACAAGACATTAAGATGTAGCAAGAACACAGCCACAAGATGGCACATGCTTCCATGCCCTCTGCAAGTCTAAGTTAAAACAAAAACTCAGTTAGTGAACACAATCAAGGGAGGCAATTACCAGTACTGCAGCCGTCTGTTCTACTAGCGCTGGCCGGCCGGCTGCGCAGTTCAGAGTAAAGGGGACCGCATACTGCGGCGTGATGGTGGCTACTTGAGGATGAAGAGTTGCTACCATTAGTGGTGTACAGCTTCCCTGAAATGTAGATCAGGCAGTGAGTGAAACACACGTACTGAGGCAGGATAAGTGGGTTCAGCAATAGGGCCAGAAAAGGCTTCACCTCACTGGCATTCTATGGTGCTTGAGCAGACTCCAGAATTGTAATGGATGCAGTGAAACCAACACCCAGACCCTCTGGGCATGCTCCTCTAAGCTGTTCCCTGAGGGGAACACGAGGAACAGGGAATTTGGGAACAGGATCTCTCCGATGACACAGTTAAAAAGTAAAAATGAGATAGTGTTCAGCTGTTGATGCTTTACTGGGTCCCAGAGAGCAAGTTACACTACATGCACTGCACTAAGCCGTAACACAAACTGCACCCCTCGCAGGACACTATCGTACCTCCAAATTCACATACAGAACTCTTGGAAAAAGATAAACTAAGGGATTTAATAGAAGGCACAGTAGGTCTTTTGTATCATGAAAGAGCAAAGTCATCTGTGATGAAACTACCAAGACACATATTAGTCCACCAAATGTCTAATTAAAACTAGATTCTTAGAGTACAGTTTGCACTCTCGGGAAAAGCAGGGTTTGGATTCAGGTGGGCCTCCTTCAAGTGTATTCTGCTTTTCGGATACCGTTACCTGTATAATTATGCTAAACAAACCAGAGATCACAGAACACCACCAAAATTATTTGGACTGAACAATCTAAAAATTACTCCTCTACAAGTAGGTCAGTAAGTACAATATTCTGCCTGGAGAGTAAAACTGATAAAGTATGTGTTAATGTCAGTAGAAACTAAAACTATGCAAATAAATAAAAGTGCACTTAATTATAAAGGCAATTACAATTTTTCAGTGAATAAAACCTGTGAATCACTGGGCACTCGCTATATATTAAAGCATTACTTTTTGGAAATAAAAATTGTTTTAATTTACGACACATTGCTGATGTTTAAAATATCATTTTTGAGAATTATCTGTGAATTTGTCTATTGCATATTGCTTAAACTGCAAACAACAGAAATAGGTATGTCATTACCACACATCAATTCACACTAACAATGTAACTAATCAAGAAGGATTCAGGAATCATTTTGTTGATTTAAAGATGAAATTTTAACATGAGCAATCTGTGTTGCCACTTCTGTTTACTGAGATCTCACTTCTCACGGAAATTATTTCTTCTAAAATTTGCTGCCACATTTTTAAAGTGTAGGCAAAACCATGCACCACTACCTATAAGGCAGTGTACACCCATGAAAAATACAGCCTGTTTTTAGCAGCTAAAAACTACGTATTTATTCCTATTATTAAATCAAACTCCTAAAACCAGGGAGGCACATGACATAAAATAGTTTAGACTTTAAATCTTTAAATATTCCAGAAAAACAAAACAAAACAAGAAAACAGACTTAGAAGTGATCTGTATTTAACCTTTCAGGGTGTTCTGAGAACCCCTGCATTCACCTCAGCACCAGAGGGGCAGTCAGGTAGTCCTGGATGGTGCTAGGAATTGCACTTAACTCTATGGGGTTTTTTTTTTTTGGTTTGGTGGTTTTTTGGTTTTGGTTTTTTTACCTGTGTGAGAACTCCAGACTGGATCTGCAGTGGCTGTGCTGCAGGTGCTTGTGGTACAATTGGGACAGCATTCTCCATCCTTACTGGGAACCCAGAATGCTTTGTAGTTGCCTGAAGTCCGGCTGTGGAAGACAAGAATACATCACCGCTAAGCCTTTTTTTTTTTTTTTTTTTTAAAAGCTTCTTTCCAAAATCAAATTCCTACCAGGTAGGAAGACAGGGTCAGATGAAAAGACAGACAAGCTGTTCCCTTTGACAAAAGCATACTAGAACACCAGCTGAAGTAAATACTTCTGCAGTCCTGGTATGCCAAAGGGCAATGATGGACAACCAGTCCTCAAAAGCTTGGCTCTGTTGAAGTCCACAGTCTTGTTTTCAGAAACACAGATAAGACAGACATCTAATTCTATGTTGCTTGACACTAAGTTCAAAGTTCAAACCTTACACTATCAGTTCCCATTTCATATATAACCCTCCATACTAACACAATCCAGATATAAGCATAAATAGAGAACTTTCAGGATTAAGAGCTTGTACTAGCCTCTCTTATTTACAACCTGTGACAATTTGTTGCTAGCAAACTACAGAGCTGCATCAGTGCTTGAGAACTGAGACTCAAAGACCAGATATTCCCTCCTGATATACAACACATAGCACGACACTTTCTTATTTTCAGATAGGTCTGGCTCCTCTGTTCACTGCTTTCTGTGGAAAGCTGTTGTGTTCAGTTTGGGGGAAAAACTGGTTGAACAACCGGATGAAGACTGCAACCTAGGCAGGCAAGATACCGTCACCTGTTCAAGCATGACCTGGAAGAGAACCGAATTGTCTACGCACGTCTGACCTGATTCTGCACTTACATCTGACGCAAGAACACTGTGTGACACACACAGTGGTCTTCTGTACTTTCTCTATTTAGCACAAATTACAGCTTCTCACTTCTACCTAACTGAAACCACAGTACCATACAAAGGGTTTTTCCACTTACTTTGAAAAGCAGGGGGACAAACAATGAACGTTTGCTGGAATGGGTCAGTCTGTGTGCAGATCTGGGTGGTTCCAGGTTGCAAGGAAACACTCTGTTGTGCCACTCCTGCAACTGGTGCTGCTGATGATGGATACAGAGCAGACTGGTAATTTAGCAGTGAGACGTCCGAGTTTGCCGGGAAAAGAGTAGCAGCAGCAGTAGAATTGGAAGCCAATACACTGGCCTGGGAGGGGGAGGAAGAAAGAAAGAAAAAAAAAAAAAAAATCAGATCTATCACTCGTACTTGTCACAAAACAACAACAGGAATCATCAGTATTATCCTATGAAGGAAGCACCAGGAAAAGGTTTCAGGTAAAAGGCGTAAGACAACATAGGAGAAAAAACATAAATTGCACCCACTTTACTTATGTTGCTGAACTGACAGGCAAATATGATTATGTGAAGTAAAGACACTGCCTTGGCCTGAGTTTTGGAAAATTAAATTTCAAGACAAGACTACAAATTCTGGAGAGCAAATTAAATATATTATTTTGCAGAACAGGATTTGGCCTAAAGGCACAAAATCAGACTACTCCATTTCTTTGATTAGTATAAAACAGCTAAAAGATGCTATACCTGATTGTGTACTGTATTGAGCTGGTTGTTAAAGCTCATTGTCAGATTTGTGCTTGTATTAGGAGCAACATGAGTCGTGAATGGGCTCTTAATCTGATTCACTGTATCATACATATTAACTCTTCGCTTGCAGATCTCCATATTCTGAAAGCAAGATTTCACACTGAAACAGAATGACAGAAGGAAAACATCAGATATGTAAAAACAGTACAACAGAGACATGACAGATTCCCAACTTTAGGTACATGCCTTTAGGTTTAGGGTTTTTTTTTTCTTTTTAAACCAACAAAGAATGTCCTAAAACATGAAAAGGAAGCATATGAACACTCCATTCTTATACATGCCATTGCTACTTTCAAATCAGCCAGAAACTGCAGAAAACAGCACTGACAGAAAGCAGAGAAGTGCTATTCTGTGTTTCCAATAAGTTGTCCTGAAACAAAACAAGAAATCTAAGGAAGCCTACTGATTACTGTGTGGGAAATCCAGTAGATGTGTCATTGTAACAAATGGATGGTTCAAAGTCTTCAGTGGAGTAATTCTCTTATCTGCATCAATTGTCAACATTTTCTTCAACAAATCAATATATTCCCTTCGGTCAGCCTTCTCTGCCAACATGTCAGTCCCTTCTAAGTCTGTAGACATATTCACCTTGAAAATAAAATGAGAGCAGTTCACACAGACGTCAAACTGCTACCTAACAATTCAGTAATTTCACATCACGCAAATATTTATTAAGCATTTCTGTCTCTTAGCCAGCTTAATTTCAGGTACTACAGCGCTAACACACAACCTCTCCCTTGCTCATTCTATAAAAGGAAATCAAACTTACACATGGCATTCTCATCTCAACTTGAAGCTGGTCTGTTCCATAGATATCAACCAGGCTTCATTCTCCACTACCTGGCAATATGCCCTCATTTTTTATGTGGGGCTATAAAGGGCTAGCAAATCAGAATGGCAAGAGTCTACATTCTCTGTACAGGTGTAAAGTGATGATAACAGCTACAAAAGCAGCAGAAAATTGAGACCAACATATTAAATATTCAAGGCCTCGTGATATTAAAAACATTCAGATATTCCTTCATTTTACCTCTGAAAATAGAATGAAACAACAGAAAACATCTCCAAAGTCCAATAAGAGACCTAATCCTATAAACACATCTGGAGTTGCTTCGCTTTCCTACTGCTTGACTACTTCTAGTGATAACAGGCTAAGCACACTTCTTGTACCTACCAGATCAAGGCCTAAGAAAAAACAAGAAATTTCTAACAGCTTCAAAATTAACATTTTGATAGTCTTTAGCACAGTGATTTCTGATGCAAACTGGCACCACGCAAACCTACATCAGTGTTCTCAGCAGTCCGTGGAAGAGGACTGCTCCGGCACAGGAGCCTCATTTTTAGAGATCCCAGTAATGTACGTAATTAATGTGATAGTTATCTGTGTGTTACAAGATCTCCACGCACCTGCGCCATATCATCCAAACAGTTGAATATATATTTCCGAGCTTCTTTTGATTTTATTCCTGTCTCCAACTCATGTTCTTCTGGGGTCTATAAAAGAAAGCATTTGTTAAAATAAACTGAGATATGGCATATTGATAAAGAAAAAGCAGTGAGAAAAGAGCCGAGCCCGGTGATCTTTTGCCTGCTTTAGGACAAGTCACATGCCAGTAGGCCAAATCAAAACAGCCATGGGTTCTCATTTCCTCAACTGGAAAGATCGTTCATTGCAAAGCTGAATTAACAACAGGATGACTTCATTTTAAGGCTTCATTGGGTAGTGGTAGTGCCAGAAGAACTGAAGATTTCTCATTTAGGAAAAGAAGAGGCTATAAATATTTTAAATCCCTCTTTTACAAAGAAGAAGAAAGGCAAAATCCCCTTCCTTTTGCTGCTGAGCTTTAAAGGCAAATGAAGGGTACATCTGATTCTTTCCTGTCCTCTGCCAATACACAAATAGATTTCTGTTAAACTAACAAACACCATCATGAAATACTCCCTATTTTACTCTTTGTATTGTCAGGAGATGACAAGAAGATGACACACTTCACCAAGAATGAGCAGGCCATAATATGTAACCATTATCTCAATTACTTTAACACCCACTCTTTGCTGGTACTATCATGCACAGCTGCTATTGTTAGATGAGTACCAGGAGATCTGTACAGTTTCTGAAATGAAATACACAAATCAGCTATATTTGAATGGCATTTCAAATCCAGTCTTCACTCAGAATGTGTTCACAGCACACTAAAACTAAGCGTGAATTTATATCGAGTCCTCAATGAGCAAAACAGAATTGGGAATTAAAAAGACAGACAAACCTTTAGCCTCCACAGTGGGTATCCCAAATTTGGATCTCTGTTAAAAAACCTGCTTGTTTTCGTTCCCGCACTGAGAAGATACTCCGCTGGAAGGCCTTGAGTTTGTGAAATATAACGAATCTAGGAAAGAAAATTAAAAGAATGAGGAATCCCAATATAAGGAACTCATAGCTAATGGAATAATTAGCAGCCAGGTTTGTTCACAGTGAATAGGAAATAACCTGTAAATAAAGAATGCCCAGATAACTGAAACTGCGAACTGCAAAATTAAAGGGACTATCTCATGTATTTATAAGGACACTTAATTTTTTCAATCATATTATCTTCAGAAATTTTAGGTTTTAAATACACCTTTCTTATTTTATGGAAATATTTTTTGCCCAAGTATATGTGAGCAGATTGTAAGCTCTTGAGACATGAATGAATAGTCTTTAATAGCCTTTAATATCAGCAATGTGAGAGGTACACATTTTGAGAGAAAAATACCACAGAAGTTATCATGTATGTATATATAATTAAAGGCATAAGAATCCGAGCAACATCACTGTGACTGGCTACATATACTCTAGACACACAATTTGAGAATAACGTCACAGCAAAGCTCTCACTGACCAAGAAAGCAAGACCAAACCTCTAGTACAATCAGATTCTTACATTCTCAAAAGCATTTAATATACTTTACTTTACATGTAACAAAAAAAAATGGCTCAGAATTTTGGAAAATGCACCTGGATAGTTGTGACAGTATCAGTAAGACACTGGTAAAGAGCTAACAAATAAAAAGGTATGCTCAAAAAGAAAGAAAATAGCAAGTTATGAAAAACCACAACAACAAGCTTTTAAAAATATTCCAAATGTTGCCCAATTGCTAATGCTATTTGCTCTCAAGATGCACAGTGAGAAATGTGACATCGCCTTTGTCATGACTCTCCCCTCAAAGGAGTCTATTTAAAAGTTTAAGAAAAAACCCCTGGTAAGTTTGATTTATAAAATGAGGACTGGAAACATGGTGTTAAGGTAATTAGGCTTTGTTCGAATTATCAATTATAAGTCATTTAGCATGTCTCATTTCTTATTTGCAAAACTCAGTCCTGTTATTCCACTGTGCCAAAACATCTGAACATTGCAGGCTACTTAACTCACTGTTATAGCTTGTGATCCATATGAATTTATTGACTCACTTTTCATTTATGCCAGTGTGGATCTGAAGCATCTGCAGGTGAGTATTTTTTGTATCTACACAATAGTTCAGCTTAGAGTTCTGCTATTTTCATGAGACACAACTCTTGCTTTAGAGCCAAAGGGTGTTTAAAAAATAATTGCAAATCCCACCCCAACCCACGAACTCATTCCTGGAGAGGTCCTCTCACAAGTTCTGCCTGAGCTTTTACTTGCTGATGCAGAATCTCAGAAAATATGAAAGTCAGTCATCCCTATTTTTCAAGGGCAATTCAGATATCAAAACCAACCACACGAAGTCACACCTCATGCTGCCTCACAAAGGACTGCAAAATCCTGTCTATTAAGCAATGGAAAAAGAACCTCCTCCCCATCCACCTACATGACTAGATAAGGTTCTCAGAATTGCACAAAACTCAGTGGGCAAGGAAACCACCATGCTGTACCTCAGTTATTTTCTAACTCATTCTGCTCATTAAGGTACCACTGTGTTTCCTTTGGAAATTTACAGCGCTGAGAAGGTACAACACAAGTAAGATTTCAAACTTAGTAAGTTTTCATGTATTTTATCACATAAGGAAAGCTATACCAAGCATTGTAACAAGATACCACCATAAAAACCACAGTGGAAAAGTTACCCTCGAAAAACCTCTCATACAGACTTTTTGTCCTTTTATAGGCAACTGACTAGCCCAGGTAATAATGCTAAGTATCCACGGAAAGAACTAATTAGTTCAAGATGCCTTTCCAGACTCTTGCCCTTGTATTTCAGAGACAGCTTGGGGCCCACACCTTGCACTGAAAATGAGGGCTGTTGGAGGTATTAACAGGACCGGAATGATAGGCTTGCTCTGTCTCCACATGGAAAAACTGCCCTCATGGTGAAATTACAGAGGGTGTTTCAAGTCAGGCCACACACCTCATTTCCCTTTTGACAGCTTTTGGAAGCCAGGGGGTTAACTGTAAATTAACTCTATATATTGGATGACTACTAAAACACACAGAACTCTGTGCTCTCCTGTACAACACCACAGACAGACAGGCAATGGGAACGCCACAGAGAGAAAATGAACTTAAGATGACAGACAACAGTGATTTATACTAGATGAAATTTGATGTAGGATACATTGGGCTCAGAGCATCTGGACACAGATCATTGTGATTTCATTTGAACATCCCCACATCCGCCACGCACTCTCACCTGATCATACTCAGACGCTCCTGGATACAGAGGCCAGCCTAGAAACAGCTCAGCTATCACACAGCCCAGTGACCACATGTCAATAGCTTCACAGAACGGTAAACCCAGGATGATTTCAGGAGCTCTGTTGGGGAAAGAAAAAAGTAAAATCTTCAACTCTGAAAGCATGCGGTTCTTTCCTATAAATTGCTCTGGATAACACCCCTCCTTCTCTCCTCCAAGCACAAGTAAATCTGTGAAACTAAGCGATTCGCTTTAAAGCAGATGTTTCCTCAAGCGGCCTAACAGATCCCAACATTTTTATCACTTAGTGATGCGGCTGGATTCGTTTTATTGCCGTGGTGGCCTCCAATTCCTAGGTGGCCTTTATGCAGCTGTGATACGAAGTTACTCCTTCAGTAACCTGTTTAATTACACCTGACAGTATGTACAGCGCGAAGCATCCCGGAGGCAGCGCGCGAGCTACCCTAACAGAACTGGGAAGAAAAGTTATGTCCAACAGTGCTCAGACTTCTCTCGGAAGAAGGTCTCAAGGTCCCAGGTAACCAGCTGTAGAAGGCTGCTTGTTTTCACGTGGAAAAGAACAGCATCTGCAGAGCCAGAAAAAGGAGCTCTTCAGAGAGCTGCTCGGTTTCTATCAGCGGGTTTTCATACAGGGTTTGTTTGGAGAGTTTCGAGTTCAAAATGGATGGAGAAAACACAGCTGGAGATTGTGATTGCTTTGCAAGGTTGTGTTACAGGTTTCTGTGCACTGGACCACACCTAATGCAAAATTTACCTGTCTGGCCTAGCCTTTACAAGAAGGTGATGAAAAAAAACTCAAACTCCAAGCTGGGCTTGCTTCTGCAACAGGTTGGAATTTCAGGGACATTTCTGTCTGGAACTGACTCATAACACAAAAGGATGTTTTAGCACATCTCTTCACCTACACACAGTTCTGAAACAAACCAATGCCGTTCTGTCAGGCTAAATTCTCGTCATACATTTGCATACAGCACAAAACCCAAGTGCTGCAAAAACCATGTGAGCTGGTGTGGGAATTTACTCTGGAAAGTACAGGAAACATGAAAACCTTGATCTTCTTCATGCATAACTAACAGAAGCGCAAAGGAAGACAGAAAAGTCCTAAACTCCAGGCTATCTATTTTCTGGTTGTGACTCGGGTAGCATGCCCCAGGGCTTGCGTGACATTTCTTGCATTACAGTGTGGATATTTCTGTTGTTAAAAAAGGCTCTGAAACCGGTTCTGATCTTTCTACAGAATTCTAAAAAACAGGGCTTGCATAATGTACAGGTGTCAACAGATCTGACACTCACCTTCCTCCACTGTTCAACCCAAATGTACCTCCCAACTGTTTGTACATGGCAAGAAGTGACTCTCCAATTAATCACCCTTTGTGTCCTGGTGACACAGATACAACTTTTGTTTTAGGTGACTACACAATTACCATTAGCCAGTCTCCAAAACAAATGCACTCATCCCAGTTGCCCAGGCACAGTGGCCCTGAGAAAGCACAAGATCTATGAAAAAAGACAGTGGAACCAGCTGTTTGCCGCAGCGAGGTCGTACCTACTGCCTATCGTTCAGCTTTAAAGCAAGGAGGTTCTTAGTATGTCTGAGCCCCCCAGAAACACCACCATGATATACCTTTAGTAATCAGAATAATAGATTATTTAAGCTAAGACATTCTGACACTCACTCTACTTGACATTGATCTGCTTCTACCTTCTCGTACTCCTGGCAGTAGTCGCTTTTGGAACGTTTCGCATATGTGAAAATATAAAATGATTATGCAAATACGATAAGCATCTGACATTTGAATGCTGAACATCCTGCTAAACATTTATATTTTAAAGGACTGCGCTAGAATAGATCCAACTTCCCATAGGCTAATGGGCAAACAAGAGGAATCCATTTCTGTAGTACTTTGGTCTTCAGAAGCAGAGCGACTATGATGCAGTCATTCACACAGGATTTTCAGAACCCCACGTGCCATTAGTCTACTAGTCATCACCAACAAACTGTATTGATCCTCTTGATTATCCTATTTACGCAGGAATTTCCAATTCAGATAGGGCCCAAACCTGTCATATAAGGCATGCTGCATGCATAAGTTTCCTTTGTTTGGACTGGCAAACGAACTAAAATATAAGTGGTTTGCAGAATAAGCAGAGCATGCTAATCTTTCACAAGTGCATTAAAAAATCCCACCAATTCCAATGGAAAAAGAGATTAGTGGCAACAAAGGCTGGGTGTGACAATTTGTTAGTCTTTAAGTACATGCTGGAATAGATTTAGGTATTCTGAAACCTCAATACCAAAATGATAGCAAGTTGAACTCTATGCATTTTATTCCCTGAAACTAAATAAATGAACTTCTCACAAGCCACCTGATTTCATTTTGATTGCAGGACAGAGCTGGTAAATCAGAATCTCTCTCATCTCCTTTTACACCACTATAATTAGCGGCCTTATGAGATGTGAGTTGAAAGAGGACAACAGGCAGAGGTCACTTTCATAGCTGATCTGTCAGAGATTAAAGTGATTTTACGATCTTAAGCTCTTTGAAAGAGAAATCAACAACATTCTTTCTTTGCATACACGCTTGCCAAACTCTGACTTCCAAAGTTGGCAAATATGCTCAGGCACTCTCAGAAGAGAGAGGATTCACAGCAGTAGCGGAAAAATCCGAGACTTACTTTTAGCATTTCAAAACACACCATGTTTACACAGGAGTCTTCAGCCCTCCCCCTTGTGAAGAATGATGGTAATATGAAGTTTGTACAACTGCAACTAGCAATGCAGTGAATAGCACGGTCACTACTCAGAGCTGGATTAGCAAGCAGAGTTAGAGTTGGCAGCATGCACTACTGCTTCCCAGGCCAACATGACTGGGACAGAAGTAGGTCATGTAGCCCAAAGCAGAGGTAAGAAAAAGATACTACTGCACTCTGCAAGCTCCCTCATCACTCAGTGCCACCTTCCCATGGCCCAAATTGCTCAGTCCTTCAGCTTAGTATCTTCACTTTGCTAGGTGCCTCCACACTGACCCACAGGAAACATCAGGAGGTAGGGATCTGAGTAAGACTCACATGATGGCTCTACTTACATACAACATAGGACACGAGTAAAACCTCACTCTCTGAACAGCAGGGAGATCAGTCTTCTCGGGGATTTCTCATTTCTGCAAGCTGTCTGCCTCCTTCTATTGTTTATCCTCCCCAGGGAGAACAAAAGCATCCCTACCCTTCTGCACCTGATGTAATAAGCATATACTCTGGTTTTCAGGTCAGCAGCTACTGCTAATAGATCTCAGGACTGCCCTAAAACTAGTCACTGCACAGAAGCATGACTACTAGAGTTAGTCTACTCCTAGTCCATGCCTGGCTTCAGAGCCAAAGAATTCTTCACGGGCACTTCTACTCACACTTCAAGTCAACCATGTCACGGCAGTAACACTGCCCTTCCTGACTGGGGTGATGCTGCAGAGGCAGCAGCAATGCCTGCGGACAGAGGGGACCTGCCTCTGCCTTAACACGCTTGCCCTGACAAACCCAATGCCGCATCCCCGCTGGACGTATGGCTCCGGCAGCGTCATCCAGACCGATGGAAGTTGTCCCACTGCCAGAAGTACAATCAGAACCTGGAGCGAGCAGGGCTGTTGGACAAGATAACCTCCAGTGGCACTGAGCACAATTAATAAAGGAATGCTTTTTTCTTCAGGGTGTATGTATCGGAAAATTCATCTTACAGTACCCGAGCTTGGCTGGTTTAGATGTCTCTACAGGAGACAGAGATTATGTAAGTGCCAGTAACAGGTATTAAAAACAAAACAGTGACCGCAGAATGAGAAGTTTATTTTTAATAGCTGACAGAGAACCAAAGGAAGAATTGGTCTATACTGTTTTATTAAACACAGCACTGAAAAAATTTCCAACTTGGAACTCATCTGAACACTAATTTAATGTGAATATGGTTAAAGCAATCCAGTTCTCCCACAATAAGCTGGTTTCTACATCATCTCCATAAGTTCCTAGATTATGGATTTTAGTAATCATCACCATTAAACAAATTACGTGTCACTAAATATTAGATTTCCACATCACAGCATTCTTCAGTCAAGCAGACAGTCTTGAACACCATCTAATCTCAGGTTATTTGCCTTTCTGGCAGTGTCAGTCACCCCATGTCAGGCAGGCGGAAGCGGCTTGGAGTTCAGTGCCACACACAAAGATGAAGCAGACAGCTTCTTTCCCAGCAGCCCCTTTAAGATACTTATCATCCCTTGCTGCTTTTGCCTCACCAAATCTGGTTTTTGCGATATCAGAAACTGGAAAGCACTATATGCCTCCCCAAACTGCTTTGCTCACATGTGTTGCAAGTCAGATAGAGCAGGTTCCTGGTCAGCAGTCACCTCTTTCAATGTAACAACAAAATTAATAATGCATTTTGGACAGCGAGCATTTTAGCAGGGCTATGGTGCACAGAAGGCAACCGCGTTACAAAAAATAACAATCAATAGTTTAGAATTGGAAAGATTGGTGCCAACAAGCTGAGTGAAGATCATGAGGAATGGATTAAGAAAAGTCTGTATCACATGAAAGAAATGGCACAGAAAGTTGGTACTTGGTGTTGGAAGGAGAAAAAAAAAAAAAAAAAAAACCAAAACGAAGGGGGCAAGGATACAGGGAGTATGAGGAATGAACAGAACAAGCCTATAAACAGCCAGGGCTTTAAACTGAAGCTAGGAGGACAGGAAAGACATCAAACAGGGCAGAGACATGGGGTGGGGTCGAGCGTCTCAAGTCCTCTGTCTCGTCCCAGCTGGAAGGACTAGATACTACTTAAGTTTTGCGTCAAGTGAGCTCACATTCCACTGAAAGCAACCCTGACACACAGCACAGACTTTTTCATGTCCCTTTGATGCCGGAAGTTCTTTCTGCACCCATTTATTGAAGTCTACTGCTACTTATATTGAAATGCACGCTATTAACAGAACCAAGCTGGAGGAATAAATGAAAGAAAAAGCACAGCTTGCTTTAGCTACACAGTTTCCGAGTTTTAACATTTTGGCCCATAGTTTAGTTTTAATTCTTAGACAGGAGTAGGGTAGAAGCCATTTCTGCATTTTGCTAAGGGAAACAGAGATCTAGCTCACCCCCGTTTTAAAAGAGCTACAGGTCTCATGAAAGCATGACTTACCAAGGGTTGATACAGGAAGTCATGTGCTCGTGAAGTAGGTTCAGACAAAGATGGAACCAGAAGAAACAGGATAAAAAGAAACTGGCATCCCTTTGACTTCTTTCTAAACGACCATGGTTAACGGACTAGTTTCAGATCATGGCAAATAATCCAAAATGCACTACTTATTAGTAGCATACTGCTTCCCCAGCTTGCTACTTCACACATCATCACACACGAGCGACAGGGTAAAATCAACTTACTAATCTGGGGTAAAAGGAAGGTATCGGACTGCATATTATGTCACACTTGCAAAGCAGAAGTTCTATTTATTTACATACAAATTTCAGAAGAAATCTCCAGGAAACGTGCAGAAGAGTGGATAGGCTGATCATTTCCTCCTCCCCCCTGGGATTAGACCTAATGGCAGAAGAGTTAAGCATTTGTAGAAGCAAACCCCTAGCACCCCACTGAGATCAGCTTTTCTTTGCTCACGCAGTGCACGAAAGCGAGCATTGTGTCAGTGCTTACCTGTAATACCGCGACTGCAAATAAGTGGAGCACACTGCTTTAGACACGTGGCTGGCCGAACCAAAGTCTATCACCTTCACCCTGTAGGGCTGGCGCGCAGGATCCACCAGCATGATGTTTTCTGGTTTCAAATCAGCATGTATGAGACCCAAGCTCTTTAACTTCATCAAGGCAGTAGCCACTTGCTGCAGAATTGGCCGGATGTATTTCAGGGGCAACGGACTGAACTTATTTTGCTTTAAGAAATCATATAAGTTCTGTTCTAGCATCTCAAATACAAGGCATGTATGATTCTTGTGTTGAAAGCACTCATAGGAGCGAACAAAGTTATATTCATCAGCATTCTCACTGCTCAAGCGAGAGAGGATGCTCACCTCTATCTGGCCCTGCCTAGCATAGGAAGGATGGTTCTTCAGGATTTTGATGGCTACAATCTCCTTCGTGCTACGTTTCCAGCATTTCGCCACCTGCCCAAACGTCCCTCGGCCCAGGAATTCCAAGACCTCGTAGCTATTTGTCATAGAGCACAGAATCTCATGCTGGACCAGCTGATAATCCCCTTCACCACTGGAACTGCTGCTTTTAGTGGTTACCGTGGTGGTTGTGGCCGCAGCACCCACCGCAGGTCTGTTTTGCAGCATGAGAGGTGGATGTTCCTCAATTATCTGCACACTACCGTTGCTGTCGACCTCTTCACTTTTCCTTTTTAATCCACATTTTTGGTACGGTTCCAGTAAAGAAACGTTGCTCCTGTGTGTTAGGGTTTGGCTGTTCTGGAAGGACGCTGTTGCGCTGCTGCCTGTGCTGTCGGCTGCTGTAACCACAATGTGCTCAACTGAAGGAGCAGGGAGAAGGAGGTTCTGATCGTAAGCAGGGATGCTGAAATTGGCTACCTGATGAGAGGAGCTTGCTTGCCCTTGAGCTGCTGGGAGGTTTTTGCTGTGGGGATAATACTTGTCACTACTGCTCTGTCCTGAAACATCCCAGACAGAGGGCTCCACTTTCAGTTTCTTGGCACTGCAGAAGGCACTCGAGGATACTGACGGAGGGGAGAACACCTGCAGCTGTGAGGCCATACCTGAAAAGGGAGAGGAGAATGCATGAGGACTGTTTAGTGGCAGCAGGTTGTGACAGAACGAGATCCTCCATCTGCACGAGACAGAGAACGACAAGTATTTTTCGAGGCAGCATATGGTGCCTACCACCTCGGAAGGCAACCTTTGGAACTGCCGATCCTAAGGGCATCCACAGAGACAGAGTGAGGCTCTCTGGTGGAGTTACTGCATTTGACCTCACAGCCTATGGCACAAGAGGCAGACAGCTCTTTATCCTGCTTCCTAAAGGCTGAAGAAATCCCGGCATGAGACGGGAAAACAGTACTGAAGACGGGAAGACAGCACGGAAGCAAGAAGGTGCTGAGCAAACTACCACCGCTTCCCCCCGCCCCAGGCCCGTTCCCCCCGCAGCT